AGTATACAATTGTTTGTATAAATGCCTGATGAAGCTTTATTCCTGTTGCACTTTCTGATTCTAACTTTATTATGTATCAGGTACCTACTTCTTTGCTTCCAAGAATTCCTTGGCTCAGTTGGGATATAAGGAGTTGAAAGTGAATCTCTTGCAGTTGCCATATCCATGCTGTCTCTGCCTGTGCCTTCCATATAATATAGATGCCTCTGTCCTGGCATCCTCTCTGTCCTGTGTGACATCCAGCCGTTTCATTTGAATGCAGAGCTGCTTCCCTTATTTCTATGTAAAAAGTTTCAGCAACACATCACAAAACTCGTATAAATGAATAAGTGACACTGTGCTTATTTGCTTCTTGTGACATACATTGGTTTACAAAAAGCTATCTCAAAGGACCACTGGCTCACTCATGAATATCTACTCCTGCATTGCTGAATTATTCCGGTAACTTGGTGATGTGAGATTATTAGGTTAAGATTTAGGGTTGTTTTTAATGTTCCTTTGCCCACTCTTGGGGGTTTGACTGTCTTAAGCTTGAACTCGCTGTATTATATTGAAAATCAGACTGCCCATTTCTTCTTTCTACCCCTTTCAGAAAGGCCTAAAGAATGTGTTTGATGAAGCAATATTGGCTGCCTTGGAGCCTCCAGAACCGAAGAAGAGCCGCAGGTGTGTGCTGCTATGAACATCTCTTCAGAGCCCTTTCTGCACAGCTGGTGTCGGCATCATACTAAAAGCAATGTTTAAATCAAACTAAAATTAAAAATTAAAATTTGTTTCTGCAATAATGACAAATGCCCTGCACCTACCCACATGCACTCATGTGAGACAAGGCCCGTAGGTATGCCCCCCTTCGCCTTCCAACTACTAGTTAATTTTGATAATTGTGTATTGTCAGAAAGTGATCAGTACTAGTTTTTGTTGTTTAAAAAAAACCTTTTTTGTTTGTTTAAAAGCAAGGCATGCTTGTGATGACTGTAACAGACTAACTTTGAATTGTTGAAGCTGCTCCCTGGTTCCATTTTAGACAGTAATCTGGGACATTTTAGACTTTTTTTTGGGGGGGGGGTTGTGTGTGGGGTTCATTTTTTAGTATTTTTTAAAAAAAGAAATTAACCAGTGGACAGCTCTTCGGGGAGGAAGACGGATTATTTCCACATTCCACTTCCTAGATCTAGCATAGAAAATGTGTTCCCCATCTGGTGCTCTTAGGAAGGAGTATAGTAAATGCCTCATTTAGTAACATACTCCTTTTTGAAAGTTGCCTTTTTTTCTCCACCCTTGAGTAGATCCAGTGTTTGAAGCTCATGGAAGTGGGTGGAAGCCGTCTTGCCCTCCTCTTTTCTAGGATGCACTCTATATGTGACTGTGACTTCCAAGGAAATTTGTTTGCCATTTGCTTTTTTTTTTTTTTTTGAGGGGGAAGAGATTTCTAACTTCTTTTACCTCATAAGTGAAGAAAAGTATTGCACCTTTTGAAACACACCAAATTGATTGACTTCATACATATTTTTTTTTTTTCTTGTCAGTCATTGTCTTATGTACTAGCATAGATTTGCAAGTCAGTAGTGTGTGGTCTTCCTAGAAGCCAGCTGAAGATTGGCCCACAGAGAAACTCTGAGAGGGGTGCTGGGAAACTGATGTCTGTGGGATGACTGGCATCCTTTCTGGTGATGAGGCTGCCAGGCCTGCTTCTTGAGAAGCTGGGGCCGGTAGAAGGGCAACACTTAACCAACATGGGGACCAGTCAGGGGAATCCCTTTTTTCTGTCTTGCATATAAGGAACCCTTGAGCAACCTGCTGAAGCTCTCCGGTTTAATTAAAATGGCAAAGAGTCTTATTAAGACTCTTTTATTATAAGTGTTAATAGGGATTTTATCAGACTATTTCAGTTGCAGTTTCCAATTTTTAAAAATGTTTAGGTAATCTTTTCCACGTTCCTTAAATCCTAATTCTTGTAGATTCATTAGTATTGAACCATTGCTTTCTCATGTCTCAATTCTTTGTATATGCGTTCTTTTCAGATGTATTAAACAAACAAAACCCTTCACAAGCCAGCCTGAGGGTTGTTTTTTTCCCTCCGCCTCTTACTTTTCAGATATTTAGGAGTGGGAACTTGACTTATTACATAACATCAATTTCTAACTTTTTTGTTTTTGGTTGGTCATGGGGCTTGAACTCAGGGGCCTGAGCACTGTCCCTGAGCTTTTTTGCCCAAAGCTAGCACCCTACCACTTTGAGTCACAGCGCCACTTCCAGTTTTCTGGTGGTTAGTTGGAGATAAGAGTCTCATGGACTTCCTGCCCAGACTGGCTTTGAACTGCGATCCTAACATCTCAGCTTCCTGAGTAGCTAGGATTACAGGCATGCTAACAAATTTTGGGATAAGAATTTATGAAGTGTTACTTCTTTTCTGGCAATAAGTTTGAAATGTTTTTCTCTCTTAATGTTCAGGTTTATGTTTTCTGCCCTAAGTAGTTTGAAATGTTTATCTCTCTTAATGTTCAGGTTTATGTTTTCTGCCCTAAGTGTTGTCTGCAGCTCTAAAACTCCTTCCTTTATATACTTAGGCCATAATGGTTCTTGGTGCAAAAATGTCCTCACTGCTTGTTGCTCATGGTTTTGGAAGGAAATCAGTATACTCTAGTGCACAGTTTAGTTGGAAGGCAGCTAGTTTCTCAATTGTCTGCATTAATGTCCTCAAACTTGATTTTAATTAGAGTGCAGCCACTTCTAGGTGATTGTCCCAAACTATTAAGACTCAGATTCTAGATCCCTGTTTTGTGAATCTGAATCTTTTTTGGGGGGGGGGCACTACTGTAGTTTGAACTCAGGGCCTCTCTCTTTCTTGCTAAGTAGGTACTCTGCCACTTGAGCCACTCTGCCAGACTTGAATTGTTTCATTTAGGTGGCAAGAAGGATATATTTACCTGAGGACATTTTACAGATCTGTATGAGAGTCTTAGAACTTTAAGATAATTAAGTATAGCTTCCCTATGGGGAATAATGTTTGGTATGATTCCATACTGTGCTAGAACTAAGTGGAGTTCCTTGGGATTGGCCAACAAAGATACAGATCTAAGCTTAACTAGGTGTCCCCTCCCCCCCCCCCCCCAAGTCCTGGGCTTGAGCTCAAGGGCCTGCCTGGGTGCTGTCCCTGAGCTTCTTTTGCTCTAGGCTAGCACAGCTCCTCTTCTGGCTTTTTTTTTTTTTGTAAAGATACTATACAGAGGGTTACAGTTACATGAGTGAGGTAATGAGTACACTTCCTCTTGAACATTGTTAGCCCCTCC